CTGCATGTGACCAAACTCTGTTCTACAGTGTGTGTTTATATGGAAGTGTGTATTGCTGTGACACACGATCAGGCCAGGTTATTTGTTAAACAGGAAGCACAGTTAATATGCTTTCAAAGCCCTGATTTAGTGCAGCAGTGTGTCACACAGACTGCATGAACTACATGAGTAACAGGGCTAAAGTTACACTCTGTGCAGTCAGTAAGCTCCGCAAGTCTTTTATGGTCTCCGTTAATCCTTACTGCACTGTTCTGCAGTACTGATCACACATTAAGAGCTCATTTATTATCTGTATTGTACTGTAGGTCTAATTTTGGAGATAACGGATACACTCTGTTAAAGTCTTTGAACAAGACTGTTTTCAAAGAAATCAAAGATTTTTTTTATTGTCAATTCACTATATGTGCAGGGCATACAGAAAAATCAAAATACTGTTTTCTAGGTTTTTACCCTTTTCCTAGTTTTATTTACATGGTTTTGACATGTCATCACAGCTTTTTAGGAACCTGCTTTCCCCAAGAGTTAGATGAAGAGATATTTTTTTTCTGAACTGCAGTCAGGACATGTACACCCTAGCTTCACAATAAGACTGGAGGCAATAAAGTGGTTCAGTATGTATTTTAGGACACTGAAAAAAATAGTTTTATGCAACAGAATAAGGGGTGTGAATTTTACATCAATTGGGTTCAAAGGGTAAACCAAGGGAGGAAAGAAAAACACCAGCCTTTTTAATTTTCCTGATTTATGATAAAATAACAGTGCTGTTGATCTTGCTGCCACTTTCCTCTCTTCACTTTGAAGTTCCAGCAGACAGTGCCGTGCAGAAAGTTAAAGAGTAACTGTGCGTGAAGGTCTGTGGTGCTATCTAGGTCATCGTTCCAGCTGCTAAAGCATTTTGTCTTCTATTACTGCTGCACTTTTTCATACTGCTAGTCCATGCGTAGGAGCTGCATTACAAAAACACATGCAACCTCATCGTGCCACAGGAAAGTGAAAGAGGAAAGTGTGGACTGTCATTAACCATGGTCAAAATGTCTATCATCACATCTTCTAAAATAAGCTAAATAACAATCGGCTTACTGAAACAGAAATTACGAGGCAATATGTACGGTATATTTCTTGAAAAGCTTTCCTTGCATATTGCACTGAAACTCCTGTGTCAAAAGCTGCTGAAATATGGCCCCTCCATTTCTTTCCCTGCTCTCTTCTCTTCCCCTTTCCTTGTTTTTCCAAACCACTGAAGATGTGAGCTCACAGTGGACAGAACGACAGACAGGAAACTTGACTGTAATTTATTACCCATATACAGGAAAAACAGCAGAAACGTGTATGGAAAATGTGAAGAATCTGCACACCGGGCAAACATTCTATAGGTCAGTGTCATCAACAGGCCCTGGAGTTATAGTTTTCTAAGTCAGCTTCTTACTATTAGCAAATAAAGCCCTACACAGCACAAAAGCTTTCACAGGAACCGTTTCTCTATTTATGTTTTGCAGTATGCCTGTACTCGCCTCACTGGTTTAAAGTGCACATGGCTTGGTTGGAAAAGTTGATGTCACATACAGACATATCACACAGTCCTGATGAACCAGATCAGCTTGAGTGTTTGGTGCCAAAACTTGATTTTTTTAGTCATGAATTTTTCATATTTGGAAAAAAAGTTTGGATTGAAACCAAGTGTCGGCCCGTTCAAAGTAAGATGGCTTAATACACCAGGTCACAATGTGAACCTAAGATTCATCCAGAGGTATAAAATCATTGAAATAGATGAGACTTTTCTGAAGCAATGCAGCATGTCAAATAAAATGTATGAAAACCAGAGTCTTTCTTCATTTTGGTCTGGTCCTGTCATTGAAGTGACAACTGGCAACAGGCAGCAAAGGGCTATGCAACTGCCACAGCAGGTGGCTCAGCTCTGTCCCTCTGCTCCTGAAAGTCATCCTCTTAACTCTCTAATGTCCTCTTAATCCACTTCTCTCCAACTTTGCCCTAAACCCCTCATTCCACCCATCTTTGTCTTCCTCCCTTTTCCCTCTGGAACCTCAATCCCTCCTTCCTCTCTTTGATTCACTGAAGTGAGCCAAGAAGGGAGAACATGAGCAGAAGTCATCAAATATGGTAAAAACTAAAAAGGGAAACACTTCAGAGAGGTTCACATGGATGACCCCTACTCATCTCTGCATTAATCTTCTCTGAAGCCCAGGAAAGTCACTATAAACACATTAGGAGTTGGGCTTATCCAGGTCTCCACAGAGAACACACATACTCTACTTCATACAGCATGAATGGCTCATCAACATACTGCCATCTGATGTACAGTATCTTCAAATATATACATGAAGAAATATGATAAAGTGACAGTGAACCACTCAAAAGACAGTTCCTCTCCCAGTGTTTTCTCTTTCTGCCTTGATTTTTGATTGGCATCTTCAAAATAGCTTGTGTACACAGTCTTGGCCAAGCACAAGGATTGGGAAGTGCATGAGCACATGCTCTGGCCTCTGACATGATGAAGATTCCCTGGAATGGAAGGAAGAAGGCCCTTCCTGCGACAGCCCGCCGAGCGGATGGCTATCGACATCAATTGAAAGCAAACAAAGAAAGAAAGAAAAGATAAAAACAACTGAGTCCGGACCTGCTGTTTGGATAACCACAATGTCAGGCTGCCCTGGTATTGGGAGAGCGGTGAGCAGCTTCCTCTGGCCTGAGGTGCTGTGGAGAAGTCAGAATAACAAGGAGTGTGTGTGTGTGTGTTCTTGTACTTGCTATATAGTGAGGACCAAAAAAGTTTTTTTTGCTACAGAGTGAGGACATTTTTGGAAAGTGCCTGGTCCTTGTAATGGTAAAAAATAAGAGTTAAGTAAGTTTAATTATCATTTAAGTTTTTATTAATTTCAGTAATATTTTGTTTTCTCTTAAGCGTGTGTCAGAACTAAGCGGTCATACTGAGTGTCATGTTTTCCTTCTGCACGAATCACTTAGTTTGAGATAAGATGTTGTAGTTGAATTACTGTATGTTATCAGGAACCCAATATGTAGGGCATGGCCCTCATCTGACGTGTGTGCACACTTTAAATAGATCCTGATGTATTTGTTCCTAGTGCTGGTAATAAAGCAACTTTTCATATTGTTCAAGGCCTCATTTGTCTTTATTAAGTAAATCTACTGTCACAGTCCTCACTTTTTGAAACAGCTTTTTGAAGGTTAAGACTTGGTTTTAGGGTTCAAGTTAGACTTAGGTTTATGCTAGGATTATGGTTAGGCATTTAGTTCTGATGGTTAAGGTTAGGGTAAAGGTTAAGGTTAGGCAAGTAGCAGTTCCGGTTAAGATAGGGTAAGTCTCCTGGAAATGAATGTAAGTCTATGTACAGACCCTGTATGTGATGGCAAGGATGTGTGTGTATGTTGGTGGGGGAGAGTGGGGCATGTGGGTGGAAGATTGTGTCTTCTCGTGCTATGTGTGTGTGTCTATTTGAGACACATACAATGCAGCCCAACCACACAGTCTTTCTGGTATGTGGGATTTCCAGGTTCAAAATAGGCTCAGCATTGAAGGAGGGCAGGAACAAACAGCAGAGAGAAGGGAGGAAAAAGAAGAAGGGAGAGGTGAAGGGACAACACATGATGTGAGTTTTCACAGCAACTATTAGCATTTTATATTCATAAAGGTTTGGGTTCAATCGTCCCACCTGTCGACAGGCACAGCACGTCTGGTTTAGGCGGCCAAGCGTTAAATTGCCACTGTGAGGTTATAATGCAATAGGGAGGTAGAATTACTACCATTCCAATAACTTAAAACACATTATCACTGAGGAACTTGGTGGGTCTTTCTGCACACACCCTGCAGCCACAGTGGAGATCTCTATGTCCAAAGATACTAAATCATACAGGCCAAGTACATATCTGGAAAATGTGTTTGAACTGAAACACAAGAAATGCAGAATAGAATACCGTATGGCACAGACATACAGTGAAGAATAAGGAGAATTTTTTCCAGCATTAAAGGAGCATTC